AAACCCCAGCTGAGCTGCAGGTGCCACAGGGCTCCGGGGGTGCTGTGCTGCCAAACGCTGGGCACCCCCTGCAGGGCCGGGGTGCCTCCACCCTGCGGGCACCGCCACGCGAGGTCCGGTGTCTGCGGCAGACAAGGGGGGCAGCGACAGCAGAGGGCCAGCAGTCACGTTTATGTGCCTTTCCCATCTTTTAAAAGCTTGCCACAACAGTGAGGCTGCTTGAAGGTTAAAAAAGTTTTCAGGAGAACGGTGCCGTGGTGCAGGGATGCTGGTCCTGGTCAGGCAGCACAGATCTGGCAGGGCTGCAGGCCACGTTCGTTGCAAGCTGGACATCGGAGAGCCCTGTAGGACTCCCTGAATCTGTTTGCCAGCATTGAAAACTTGCTCCCATGGCACAGCGAGCAAGGAGCAGAGCCTGACCCTTTGCACTGGGAACAACAGTGCTCAGCATCTCCTTCCTGAAAGAGAGATCATGAAAAAAACTGTTACTGGGCACCGGACACCAAAGTCAGTAACCAGCCTGAAGGAGGGGAATTCTGTCCTCTGGCCTTCTGCATAACTGTTGCTCCTGACTCCACTCTGCCCGTCATAACTCAGTTTTCTTCAGCAAGATTTTCAAGAAAAAAGCTCATGTATATTTGGGGACAGTTTGTGGGTACTTCTAGAAAATGAGAAGTTAATGTGACTGGGCTTACAACACAAAGCTTTCAGCTTTTTTCCCTGTCCAAGGGTCTGCACAGCTCCACCCCTCATCTTGTCATTTCTTAACACATCCATCTTCTCAGTTCTGTATCCTCCGTTTTGAGCCAGGCTTCATTCCTTCATACATTTCTTCTCACCCTCTCCCCCCCAGATCCCTCATCACCAACACAAACAGCATCTTTCAAGCTGTCCCTTGTGCCTGCAGCTCTCTCCCAGGGTGCCAGACAGCCTCTTTCAAATCCCATCTTAAAATTCAGTGCTTCCACAGAGCCCAGAAATGATTAACTATCTGCATCAGGAAGAACACAGCGAGGTGAAGGATTGGGTTTGATGTCAGGCTCAGAGTCCTGCATCATTGCCGTGCAGCAGTTCTGCTTTTCATGGCACTGTGGAACAAGGTTCTAAGACTGGGGGGTTCCTACTTGCTTCATATTGCTGTCTGCCTATGGATTTAATAGTCCAAATTAATTAACTTCTCAGAAGAATAATCTTCCTGTGGTTTGATCAACATTAGATGAATGTTCCCAATACCAGAGTTATAGAAGGTCCAAAATCATTTAAAAAAAAAAAAAAAAAACAACATAGGTTTAGGACCTTCAAGTTCTACTTTTGGTTTCCAAACATCAAGGAGAACAGAAGTACTTTGCTGGGTTTTTCCCAGGTTAACAACTGTCTCTGGAACGATGCCTCAGAGGAGCTGCTGTCCTTCTCCACAGCGTGCTCCCCCAGTGCAGGCGGCTGGAGGAAGGCCACCAATTACCTCACCAAGGTCCTCTCCCACACATATTCCCCCAAAGGCCAGGAGTCATTTTTTGATGACTCAGATCAGTGTCTGCTGGGAGCTGGGGTCAATCTTGGCTTTTATGTTAAAGCCCTCTTTCTGAGAGCCAAGTTTATTTCGAAACTGCCAAAGGCCAAAACTCCTACCTTGTTTCTCAGGACTGCTTTCAGTTTTCATGGGTTTTCATGCAAGTGAGCCACCAGCAAGGCTCATGGAACAGAAGGACCAAGGTAACCTGCACTTAGCACGGGTCAGCCTCAGATCTGCAAAACTGCAGTGCTTCATATTGGCCCTGCACAACAACATTACGTTCTGTGGGATCAAAGTATGGGCAGACTAATTGGGATTCCAACCAACAAAGACTAACCCGTGAGAAAACAAGTGGAAGGCACAGTCCTATTTCAGCCGATATTAAAATATTAGCCTCTGGCAGTCTCAACCACAGAGCAGCTGTGTTTGGCCTTGTCAGGCTGCAGAAACTCCGGCCTGCTCTCTCCCCAGTGGGAGATGGTGACAGAGTGGACCTCAGCCAAGCTACATCCACATCAGTGGTCCCCAGGAGCAGAAGCGGGCGGGACCCTGAGCCTGTGGAGGCAGAGCAGCTGTCTGCAGCGCCGTGCCGAGCCGCCCGGGAAGGGGGCAGAGTGCTGCTCTGGAGCCCAGCTGAGTGCCCGAGACAGACAGACGTGGGGCGTGGGTGGGAGTACTCGGGGGTCTGACCAGGGCTGTGAGGCAGAAGCCTTAGGGGAGCACAGACCCCTTCCATTTTCTCTTACCTGCACATACTGGTTGCAGGCAGCCTTTTTTTCCACAGCTTTCTTATGTTCGCCACCGAGTCTTTCTTTCCTTTCTTGGTGTAGGAAGGCCCAGTCCCTTATTCCCTCAGTCTGGATGATTCTTCTCATGAGCTCTTTCTGGTCCATCGGTGCACGGACGATTTTCAGGTTATTAGTGTAGATGATGATCTTGCCAAAATCTAGAATTGGGGGAGCCTGTAGAAGGGTCTTTTCAGTGTCTCACCTGTATAAATACACTCTACAAACACTGATGATCCCGGGGCTTCCAGAAGAACATCCCCTCTGCCCAGTCATCTGCTTGGCTTGCTCTGCAGCACAAGCCAGATCCTCACCACCACCCAGAGCACTGAGCAGGACAGTGTGGAGAAATGGCCCTAATGGGCCTTGGGATCAGACCAAGACTTTGGGTCCAATCTTAGGAGCTTCACTTGAATGTCATGTTCTGGCTGGGAAGCAACCCCTACACAAGAAAAAAAGAAGGCACCATTCCAAGAGCAGTGGTGCTGGCATGTATGGAAAAGCAACCTCTGCATTGGGCACTGACCTTCTTTAAAGGCTGAGTAGTTGGGAGGGTGGGGGTGGAGAAGGGGGTTTCATGGTTCTGGCCAGAAGTAGAAATTCTCCACTGTGCTGAGCTATTCTGCAGCCCTTGATGGTTTTTTTCAGATTTAAAAGAAAGCTTTTCTTTATCATTTATGAATGCTGGCAAAAGGGTCAGATGATAAAAAAAACCCTCATTATCTAATGCTACATTGTGCTCCTAACAGTGAGAAGCCAGTCTAAATAACCATCTCTGGGCACACTTAGTTTATATTCTTTCCTAATGATGCTAAAGGTGAAGTGGGCACATTCAGGCATTTCTCTGAAAGCAGCACTTTGCTCACCAGGTCCCTTCTCCCTTTGCACTACGTGCCATATGAGAGTTCCCACAGCCTATTGCTTTGCACACTCTTCCAATTTCACTCTGTTTCTGTGTCGAGAAGCAAAGCAGGAGAGGTTCTCCTGAGAAATACCCTGGGATGCAAAAGGAGATGTTCTCCTTTGAAAATTCCCTGCCAGAGTCTCATCAGCTGGCGTGAGGGGGATGACAGCCCTCCTGGGAACCAGGCACTGGCTTCCCCGTGGGGAGACGGGAGGGGGAGGCAGGTGAGCACCCCTGGCAGAAGGCTTTAAAAGCCTCCTGTCTGTTCACACAGACACGGTGCCTCCAAATACCAAGTGCCTGTTGACACAAAACAGCAGTGGTACTGGACAGGGTGATGGCTCCAGGTATTTATGGTTAGGAAGCTATGGAATGGCGACGAGCGTTCCCCAGGAATGCAGAGCCAATTAACGGGATGTGTAAGATCCCATCAGTGCTGTCTGTAGGCAGGAGAGACTCAGCGCGGTTTGGTTTTTTCAGTTAATCTACATGTCCAGTGTGTCAGCTAAATATAGTTCCAATATCAGACATCTGGGCTTCCTACAGGCAAGAATCAGCACCAAGAATTCATAGACTTCTAATGTATTCAAATCAGGCCCATAAAAAGAATTTTATACTTTTTAAAGCACTTCAGTCTCCTTAGTTGTGTGAGTGCCAGAGTGACATTCCTTATTTACCCAAGGGCGGTGACACAATTTCCTTGCTATCGCAGCAGTTGGGGTGTTGGAGTGACCTCATCTCTTTCTCTGGAATAAAACTCAGCTCTTGACCTTTCTGCCAGCAGCTGGGGCGTCACCACCGAGCAGGGCTGTGGGGCTGGGGGTGTGAGGGGGGCTGGACAGCAGGCTGCTGTGTTTGCTGACACAGACTGCTCCTGTGCAGCCTGAGCGGGGTCGGGCTGAGCCGTCTCCCCGGGAGAGGCCTGATGCCAGCCCAGCCAGCTCTGCTCACACCGCTCCCTTCTCATCAGCTCTTCCCTGGGAGACTCACCGCGGGTTTTACACGCCTGCTGATGATATCCTACAACACTCCATTCAGGGGTTGTGTATCAGCGTGACGTGGCCGAGTTATCAATAGTGCCAATGTGCCGTCATTGTTACACTAATTGTTTAATTGGTACGTCTAGATTGGATAAAACCAAGTAGCAGTAAAATTTACGTAAATCTAATTCAACAGGATAAGAAAATGAACATAATCCCTGAGTATTAATCTGTGTAACATGTATTACACATACTGGCTTTTTATTAGGACTAAAGAGACTCTTCTATATCAATGGCATTAATTAAATGCTAACAAAATACCCAGTGAAACTAAGCTGGGATTTTTGAAGTGGCCAAAGGGGAATGCTGGCTTGCCAGAGGCTGCGAGGCCTCGCGCTGCCCCTGGCACGAGCCTTCCTGCCAGCTGCAGTCATGCAGCTTTAATGCTTCAAATATAAGTAATTAAGATATTATCCACCTTACATATGACTGTTTTAAATGCAGTAGAATTACTATGTATAGATACTGATCTATATGGAAGTGTTGTACCCTACTCTACAAGATGGACAGATGGGAAGGAGCCTGGGGAGGAGATGGAGCCCCCTGAGCAGACGCTGCTCCCCGCCGGCTGTGCTGCCGCAGACACGGGTCCTGCCACTGGCAGAGCCAGCAGGACACAGCTCCTGGGGGAACCATTCACCATCGCCCCTTGAAAATCCTGGGCTAACAAAGCTGAGGTTTATCTGAATGAGGTTCCAGCTTGAGACTCCCGTTACCATACTACTACAGAAAATGGGTCAGTCTGAAGTTGGCTTGCAGACAGATTGCCAGCCCTGGGCTGGACGTTACTTACCCTGCAGGGACTGTCGCTCGGCTGGCAGTCGCTGAGCAGAGGCGAGTTACTGGTGAGGCTGTATTTCTTATCCTCCTTGAATATGCTGATCTGCTGGGCAGTCAGCTTGGCCGGCGAGTAAAACCTGTTTTCTGGCGTTTCCCCAGCCCCACAGCAAAGGTCCCCTGGCTCGAAGCTGTGGCGGAGGAAACGCCGGGTGCGCTCTTTGGCCGGGGGCTCCAGCTCCTGCCCGTCTTCGTAGACTTGTTTTAGCACTCGGCCGCTGTAAGCTGAGGATATTTTGAACCTCACTTTGCGGGGCCTTCCTTCATGCCGCTGATTGAGTTTCTTCTGGTGCTCATCCATTATTAGGATTTCAAGCAGCAGGTCCTGGAGATGAACTCCAAGAGCTCTGGGTCCAAAAGAAAACTCTCCCCAGCTTCCACCAGCCACACAATGCATAATTCAAGGTTTCTAGTAGTTCCTCTCATCTTACGTTAAAACTGACACCACGCTTTAAATATTGATAGATATTCACAAAGAGAAAATATCGATGGTAGTGAAATATCAGGCAGGTTGGTGAAGGGTTGGACAGGCTGGCTTACCACAAGAGGAAAGGAGTTAACTTGGGGAGGGTAGGATTAAATAGGAAACTCTGCCCATGTTCTGAAACCATGGAAATGTTTCTGCTATGTGCTGTGATAAGAACTACCCCAAATACACCATCTCAGCAGCTTTTCACAGTTTTCTGACAAGGTGAGAAGTTAAAAAGACAAGTTCACAGAAAAAGCAATCCAGCTTCACAAATAGCAAATGTGAATAATTCCTCTTCCATTCTTGCGCCAAAACCCTGAGAGTATAAAGCTCCATTTCATTTTAATCCAAATGTGTTCCTCTACAGGTTGGTGGAGATCTAATTAAGATTTTCTCTTTAGCTTTCAGTCCCTATTTGTAATTCTTGCTGCCTTTCAGGGCCTTTTGGCCATTCTGAGTTTGCTTTTCAGCTTTAAAAGACTGTCACCTCCCAGGGGCCACGAGAGGCCCCGTCCTCTGCTCACCTGCAGCCCCCTGCACCTGCCCAAGGGGCACAGAGAGGGCAGCCCTCTGACGGGGTCAGCTGTCTCCCTGGTGAGCAGAGCAGGGGCTTGCAGAGGTGCAGAGCAGCTGGGGACGGGCCCCCAGGCCCAGGTTACCCTGGAAGAGAAGAGGCATCAGCGTTTGGCAGCTCTCAGCTTTGCAGGGCAGGAGCTCTGCACCGTGCTGGCCGCAGCCAGCCCCGCTCAGCCCCCAGCTGAGGGAGCTCCCTTCCCCAGTGCTGACACAGCCCCCGCTGCCCTCCCACCACAGCCCAGCCTCGGACCCCTGCTGCCCCCCGGCCCAGACGCTGCTGGCGTGAGCGCTGTGGCTCTGCCAGAGCAGGATTTGTCCTCGGGGCCCATCCCCAGCTGTGCTCCTGGTGCTTCTCTTCCCTTCCAGGGTAAAATTTAAAATGAAGAGCGTGTTCAGTACCGAATGCATCAACAGGGCAACTGCTTCCTGGGCTTTAAACATCTCCTGAGACCGACTTGTATCCAGTACATGTGACAGGAGTTACAAAATCTCACTTCTTGCAAGTTCCAAGATTGCAGTAAATTTCCACTATTAAATGCAGTTTCATTCAGTGGGAATTAAACTGAGCTTTCTGCCCACATCCTGCCAGGGCGATCTTCTTTTCATTCAAAACCAGTGCTTTTAAAGCTTAATATTCTCAATAGATTCATTTATTATGTTTATTAAAAGTTTGTTCGTGAAATACCAGGACAACAGTTTAGAAGGCTGTATATGGTAATACACGACACAGACCAAACAGTCTTCACATGCCAAGAGCTGTTTCTGCCATGACAGACATTGCTCTTGCAGGTTCCCTGGGCTCCTGGAAGCCTCACCATAAGTACACATGAAAGTTCTGTGTTCCACCAGGAGAACATGCGTGAACACGCCTGGGTAAACACTCAGCCACAGACACGCCCTTTGCATCTCCAAAACACTATTACAGTGTCAGTGTCAGTCTCCCATCCCATCCCAAACTGGAGGATCTCACACCGTAGGAGAACTTGGCTTTGCATGAACCCACAGCTCTCGCTGCGCTCACTCGGGGAGCTGGATCCTCCACCCCCGTCTCTGTGGAGTCAGGCCTCAGCTCCACTGCCTGTTCAGAGGGACACCAGCAGTCAGTCTGACACAAACCATGCTCTGTCAGGTGCCTTCACTGGAGCTCTGTTCCTGCCAGGGGACCATCAAACAAGACACAGGCTCAAAGCAGCGAGGGGAGCAGGGCACGGGCACCACTGCCACGCTCTGCACTGCCACCCGCACGGCTCCTCAGGGCACTGCCCCTCAGGGCACTGCCCCTCACGGGCACCCCCAGCCTGCCCCGGCCCTGCAGGGCTCACCCTGCAACAACCCACCTGCTGCAGCAGTCGGCTGCAGCGAGGGAGATTCAGCCTGCTGCAGAGGCACAAACAAACCCCTGCAGCCACACGTTCCCCCTGTGAACCCACGGCTGGCACACGGGCTGCTGTGCAGCCTTGCCACTGCTCACATACCTGTGCACCTCCTTCTGTGTCCCTGTACAGATGAATCTTTAAGGAGAAGATTCCTGAACAGCCATTCTGCGTTTCTCAGCCGTTGTGAACAAAACTCAGACCTTTCCACATTAAACACCCCAAGAGGGACTTTCCAGGGCGTGTTTGATGAGACTGTCTCTGAAGCCTCACCAGTCTCTCTCCAGCCAGGTGTCACAGCGTGCTGGGGACAGGTGACACTGCTGTGTGTATTTTAGTAAACATACAACAGTAATAACTCCGTGCACAACAGTGGAATCATTAAGTGTCACGATCTAGACAATCACTGCACTGTGCTTTACTTCAGACACTGTTCCTCTGTATTTTAATGACATCTGTCTTTCAAGCGTGGGGCCTCTCTTCACCCTCCTCCCCGTGTCAGGAAACACAAAGCCATTGCTGAAGTGTGCTGGAGGCTTTGCAGAACAAAGAGAGGCAGTCCTTGCCCTAAGGAGCATAGCACACTGGCTTAGATCTAGTGCAACAAAGCAGGGTATGTACAAGGAAGAACAGAAAGGAAAGCTGTAGTGATCCGGCCTGCAACACTTTGAAGGCATGTTTCCACCTGCAAGTTTTGCTGAAAAACATTTTGTTGTTTTGCTTCCTTAAAGCAAGCACCACAATCCTCCCCCTCGTGAAGGCACAGGGCAGCAGCGAGCCAGGGCAGGGAAGGGAGGGAGGCTGCAGCTGCAGCAAGGGCCCAGCACCTCAGGCCTGCCCCACCACTCACGTTATCCTGAGAACACACAGCATCTCACAGTAAGGTCTGTGGGTGACTGCTAGAGAAGAGACGAAAAAGGGCCCTGAGCCAACATTAGGGGCCACAAAGAAGGGCTGGAGGTCATGGGTAAGAGGGCAGGTCAGATGTGAAGGAAGCAGAGGAGTAAGGTAGGAGTCTGAAAGCAAGGACACAAGCATTAAGTGTGGGAGTAGCAAGCAGAAAGGTTCAGATCAGCAGGTCAAGAAGATAATGTTAGCTGAGAATTTAAAGGAGTTGGAGCAGGCTCTGTGTGTGCTAGAGAGGCCAGCAAGTAAAAGCAGGAGCAGAAAGATCCTGCATGGAGTCACTAACGGAGCTGCCAGCTGCTGACCTAAGGAACAAGCCACATTTTGGATAGGTACTAGGAAGAGCTCAACAGTGATTAGATACCTCTTGGATGCACAAAGAGAAAGGAGGGAAGGAGTCAATAACTGCAAGATTTAATGGAGGGGCAGACAGTGGCATTGCCATGGTCAGGGGGTGGCATGTGAGGCAGTGCCAGGTGTGCCATGGCACCCGGATCTCACTGCTAGCAAAAGGGAACTCTCCTCTTCTCACTGTCCCTCTGGGTGTCCCTGCAGCAAGAGGCTTGTCCCTTGAGAGCAGAGCACAGCTGGAGCCCCCCTGGCACGGGCAGG